TAGAGCTTTGCAAAGCGATTTCAATATGGCCAAAAAACCCACCTTGTCCTAGCAACAAAACATTTGAACAAAAAAATAGTCTTTTTCAGAATTGCCATGTTTCCATTAAACAAAACGATTTTCTAAATGTCAAATTGCGCAATTGCATGGTCAACAGAACAAACTTCTACAACTTGCTATATGAAATGTTTCTAAGCATTTCATGCGGTACATGTGAGGGGTTTTAGAATGACTTGGATATATTTGTGATGAACTCCTGCATCATGCTGGTCTGCTGTAGAGTGAACGTTAGCCTCTGTTAGAGGAGAAAGCCACATGCAGCCAGGTGCAAAGTTCCTTCAGCCATCATCTCTCTCTTCCTTTGTGCTGCATCTTTGCCTGGTGTTAATGATTAGCTCCTGTGCTTTTCTTGTCCTCCCTGCTCCGTAGTCGGTGGGCAGCTGCCCACACCACACAGGAGAGCTGGAGGGGGAAAACGCTCCACGCCAGCGGCTCCGTGGGGTTAACGTGAACCGTGGCGTCAGCTGCCACGCAACCTGTCCCAGCACCGACGGCCCTACTGAGGTTCTCACACGTTTTTTCGGAGCTTCTTTTTCTCTGGACGTCTCAGTCCCAGATAATCAAACTAAACTCTGCGCCTTTCTTCTTTGTGTTTAATTTTTAACTCCATTTTAAATGAAAAGGCTTCACCTTTCATCTCCTGCTGATCACTTCCCTGGGGGGCTTGAGGGGGAGGGAGGAGGAATGCAAGAGAAGGGTGAGGGGTGTGTGTGTTTGTTTGTGTGCATGCGTGTGTATGCATGTGTGTGTGCGTGCGTGTGTGTGTATGTGTTTGTCTGTGCTGTGAGAATTCATTAGAAGTTAGGGTGTTGCAGGGGGTGTTGGGAAGAGTTTTGTTTTTCCTATTAACATGAGCAGTTGCGGGTGTGTGTGTGTGTGTGTGTGTCGGGGTCATTTGGTCAGTTTGCCCATCAGTACTCGAGCTGTCTGAGTGAGCATTCTCACCATCTGTATGACCTCTCCTCCTGACCGGCCGGCTTTTGTTCCCGGCCTCGGCTCCCCTCCCACTAACATCTCTCACGTTGTCCAAAGGGTCGCTGAGCCCGGTCTTCATCGGCCCGCTCTCCTCTTCGTACAGCTTGTTTTTTGTTTTTCCTCCCTAACACTTTCCCATAATGCTGAGCACTGATGCAGTATGCCTGGACTTAGTCGGCATGGGGGCCTCTGGCCTGGCAGCTTGGATTCCCATAGATAAATCCAGTTCATTTCAAGAAGTAATTTGAGATAAAGCTTGAAGTTCAGTCTTAAGTCTTTTGGATTGTTCAAAGTTTATACAAATGCAATTCTGGAGCGTTTACGTTGAGTGGCTATTTAAAGGGGCGTTATCATGTAATTTAAAGGCACCATTTTTTTAGCAAAATCTAGTAACTATGTTAACTTCAGTTTTTATTAAAAAAAAATATATATATATATATATATATATATATATATATATATATATATATATATATATATATATATATATATATATATATATATATATCATGACTTAAAAAAATTTTGACTTTGCAATTTGATGCCATAAAATTAACCTCCGTCTTTTTAAGAAGCTCTTGCTCCTTTGATGCTCCGCCTTCAGGAAGTCATCACAACAATGTTCCTCCATGATGTCATTTGCAATTGAAGTAGTTCCTATGAGTAGTTCAGCCAACGCGTGGTTCCACCAGGTGTTTGCTAACTGATGCTGCCGCTAGTCTGGGGAGCTGAGTAGGGGGGGAGACTGGAGTGGAAGTTCGGATTGGAGGAGGAGCTTTGGGTAAATAGCGGGGGAAGCGGGACTTTGATCAGGCGTTTTGGCACCCCTGAAAGGTTGCCACGGTAGATTCAAGTGTTCCTCAAACATGCATGAAACAATCAAATTCAACACTTCCAGGTAGTTTTTGATGAGGGAAATAACATTATAACGTGATGTAAAGCTCAAAAATCTTTACATAACTCTGCCCCTTGAAGACTGAAGTTGGTCATTTTTCAGACATTAAGCAGAAAATAGGTCAACGATCTTCATGTGCAAGTACTTGAGCCTACCTGGAGAAATGCATGGCTTCCATTCACCACAATATGGCTGACCTGATGCGTTCAGGGTGATGTGGATTGTTAGCTTTTCACAACACATAAGATTTTATATGATGACAAAAAAAGCTCAATTTACTTAACCCTCTCCTTGCTTCCCTGTCGGGTTAGTTGGATGGACATGTCCGTGTCTCTGGGTTCAAACTGATCTGGATTTATACTAAACAAAGACAGAGATTAGAAATGAGCTTTTTACAATACTTTAACAGAATTCTGAGCTCTTCCTGATATCAGAACTGCCTCATTTACACCATATCAAAACTAACACGATGCCGCCAATTGGACTGCAGCTATGATGCTTTAAAATTTTCCTTCCATTATTGACATTTGCTATTCTTTTAATCAAAAAACGACTTACTTACAGAAGCACCATCAGCACCCAGTTAGCAGGAAGTGTTGATGCAATTTTTGATTTGATCGATTCCAAACTTCATGTGGATGTTTTTGACTCAACATCAATTTAGGCACTGAGGAGAAACTCGCTCTTCCCAAGTAGGCTTTAACGAGTCAACATCGACATAGTGATGTCATGCCAGTCTTCTTCTGCCTAATTCATGACGCGTCGACAGAGGTTGCCATAAATCGCCTGACAGGAGGCAGCGCCACAACCTGGGCGACAGCGGCACACTCCCTCAGCCTCCTGATGGTCACTTAGTAGTGGGCTGCTTTGCTTTATGGTGCCATAAAGCAGCGTACTCAAAACACAGTTTTATGAGACGACAGTAATTAGTGTGCTGCCTAAAGGTTTGTTGGGTGCTGTTGCGTCGACCCTGATGGCAGCGATTAGCCCGGTGGCTGCACTACACTGCAGATTAAATGGGTTTTAATGGCAATTCTGCGTAATTGCTTGAAGAAGTGCAGAGTTGTAAGGACGGCAGCAAAAACAAACAGACTGGAGACGCTGTTGGTGTGTGAAGGGACCAGCTGAGGGCAGTCAGTAAATAAAACCTGACTAATTTCCCCTCGGTGCGCTGAATCGGTGAACTGGAGCTTGAACTGTTTCCTGTTGGTGTTGTGGTGAAATTTGACCAGATTGGATGAACCAGAGAAAACGTCTTGCCACAAATTCCCAGCTGGATTTAGAATTGGACTTTCTAGGCCAGTTCTAGTACGTAAACATGTTGGACGTCTATGATCAGGTTGAACCTCTGATACAGTCACAAGCCTCTAAGAGGTTTTCTATGAGGATTGGACTTTAATTAGGACCATTTACTCTTATATCAGCTGGGACCAGACTGACTGTCCCACTTTATGATGCTCCCACCACCAACACTTGAACAAAGTCTCATATTACACTGTCACTATATAGCAATAGTGTGTGTGTGTGTGTGTGTGGGTGTGTGTGTGTGTGTGTGTGTGTGTGTGTGTGTGTGTATATATATATATATATATATATATATATATATATATATATATATATATATATAAATATAAATATAAATGGGGGTGAATACAAGTAGATGTCACAGGTTTTGAGATTTATTGTTCTCAATGTGTTGGTCAGTGACGTAAAATCATGAAAAATTACAATAAACTTTGGTTTTAAAAGAAAAAAAAAGAAAAAAGATTTTTTTGTTGTTTTGTTTCTTAATGAGTTAAATATTTGGAACGAAACCTAGTCCTTAGATGTAATATTGTCATTATTATAACAGTAAACTGAAACATAATGATTTTCAACCATTAAGCTTTAAAGTATTTTCAGCTTTCACAAATTTAATTTGCTCCTTTTTTAACCTTTAGAAATATTTCTAAGTAGATAAACAGGTTGTTTTGTTGGTTCAAACCCAAAACAACCAGCAGCCCCCCAGCCAAAGCCAGGCATGATATCAGGCAGATAACAGCTCGGGGCTCTGAGCCTTGGAGGGAAAGTTTCTTGAGTGAAAGAAGAAGAGCGTGGGAGGCGCTTCATCCCTTAGACCTCTTCATCACTTCATGCCCTCAGCGGAGCCGCCAGGGGTCCGAGGCGGGCAACCGAACTCTTTTTAACGGTCCTGCCCTCCGGCGTGTGCACGTGCGTCCCGCTGAAAGCAAGAGGTGTCGCGAGCGCGAGAATCGTCAAACCCGCAAGCACACGCTGACATCGACGTGTTCCGTTTTCAAAGTAAAAGGGAATAAATAATTCCCCATCCTGATACCCTGACAAGGGATCTATAGATGACATTATTATTTATTTATTTATCTTAAGAGCAGCTTCACATTTTTTATATACCGAAATATTTTCAATCAGAAACATATCGGACTAGATAGAGCAACAGCAATATTGCATAGTTAACATTAAAAAAGAAATTATTTAAAGAGTCCAACAAAATGTTTTTAGTTTTAATATATACGGATGGGTTCGCTATCAGCTTTTTTTCACAGTAAAAACAGTATGGAAATTTAACCAACCATACGCATGTTCTGATCTATTCCAGCATCCGAATAGACTCTGCTGTAAATCACCGTTAGTCTGGCTGTATGTTTAATTTCCTTATCGCCTTTAACAGGTTTTCTTCCATGTTTTTTTTTCTGGCATTTTGCTCCATAGAATAAAGTAAAGCTATCTAAAAGAAACCGCGAAATAAGTGGGGCAAAATATATGAATGGATAAGTATAATTTCACTATGTCAAATGGAGAAAAATCTACTCCCTGAAAACCGGAAATACGCGATAAAACGTTGTCCTTTGGGGGGATGATTTTCCAGAAGTAGCCGAAACTTTTTTGTTTCCCTATACCTGGATTCTGACATTTCGTTTAATACTTCAGTCGGAAAAAAAAATCGAGCCAAGATATTTAGGGAAACTAATTTATTTTGAAAGTAGCCAACGGAAGTACCGCACGTGTCTGAACTGAGCAGACTTTACGACAACACCTTGCAAACTCCCCACTACTTGACAGAGGAGCAGTCGGCGGAGACTCCCCAGTCGGGAGTTGATTGCTTAGTGGAGACGGAGCGCGCGAGAGTCATTCTCTCTGAAGAGAAGCGGACGAGTCGCGTTCAACTCTCCTCGAGCGCACTTTCCCAGTCTTCCAGTCCGCCGCACGCGCGGGAGGAGATGAGCGTATTTTGGACCGTTTGGACTGTGTGAGCAGGAGCGCGTGGAGCCGAGCTGGATGTAGTGGAGGACAAGCTGCTGGCTGTGGCAGCGGCGCAGCGCGAGCTACACTTTCAGTAAAGTCTCGAGGAGTGTTTCGGACGGCTTCGTGGCGGGTTTTGTGTGTATTTTGAAAACGACAGAAACTGACAACAGTCGGGTGGATTTTCCTAAAGTTTCCTGGTCAATAGAGGTTGGTTTTCTTCTCATGAAAGCTGCGGGACATCTGGAACCTGAAGGCTGAGTTTCTGTCAGAACTGACTAATTTAGGTAAGAATTATTACTGTTATTATTATTATTATTATTATTATTAGGAGTATGCTATTATTATTATTATTATTTACAGGTAGACTAGCTGAACACTGCTTTGCCTCTTTGTGTTGGGTTTGTGACAGGTTGGAGCTCTTAGTGTCTCACTCTGCGCTATTCCGATTCCAACTTGAATTTACGGGATCAAAGCTGCACAAACGGCGCAGAGGCAGCGGCTCAATCAATGCGCAGTCCGTGCGCATTTTGTGAGTCATTATATTCTCGTGTCTGTTTGGTTCGGGGACGAGATTCGGACACCCTTCTCATTGTGGTTTATGTTTTCAGGAAAATTGACCAGGGTTTCGGAAAATACACATTTTAATTCATTTTCTCGTTTATGTTGATTGATTTGAGCTAAAACATTTCTTCTAGTTGTTAAAGTTCCACTTTTGGTTCCAGGGAAAAAGAAGGCAAAAAAAAAAAAAAAAAATCGTGGAAAATGCATGGACCGCGAACATATGGGGAATGTGGCTGGAGTTTAATTGTGCAGGTTTAGACTCCAATTAGGAGACATCTTTAATTATCTTTATGTGTGCGTTAAAAGACTGGTTCAGCTTCTATTCGTCATAAATAAATCATATATTTGTGAAATAGAAAATTATAGTGATTATTTTCAGAAAGTATACAGCGCCATGGCATCCTCCACTGGGTGGGTGAAGCTGTCTCCTCTCTGCAGCGGTGACGTCTTCCCGGGCTTCAGGGCCCCCCTCCTCCCCTTATCCCTTCCATTCGTCTTTCATATTCTCCGATTCTCCTTGATCCAATCTAAAGTTTCTCCAGAAAGCTGCAAGTTTCCCCCCGGTTTTCCATCTCTTACATGTAAGGTTTCTTCTCCCCCGACAGCAGCACAAACACTAATAAAACAATCTGTTAGGATTTCACCAATAAAACTGCTGTAGCTGTTTGCTCTTATTTAATTCTGGTAGATTTTAGGATAGTTTTTTTTTTTTTGCTTAGCAGCTAACAGACATTTGAAATCGCACAAGTTTTAAAAACGTGCAGATAGAAAAGTTAAATTCTGGTAATTTAAAAAAATGTTTTAATCAACTGAATTTATTTATCTAAAGTTCTAATTGTTTCTTCTATACAGGCTTAAATGTGTGTGGGGGGAAACAGAACAGTAAACAGTATTATGTTTTAATATTCAACTGGAAGTGCAAAAGCTGCTGAATTAACCGTTTAACAGCCTATATTTAACTTTTTTTATGCAGAGTCATCTTCCTTGACATATTTTTCAGACATTTCAAGCTCGGATTAATCAACACGTTTCACAGCTGCAGGAATGACTGCACACAACAAAGTTATCTGGATACTCAGAATCCCTGGTTTCACACTGACTCCTGCTGGATCCTCAATAAGGACCAACAAGAACTTTATTCTCCTTATGTTAAAATGTTAAAAAGAGATTAAAAAAAGGACACTAATTTTGATAGAAGTCTAAAATGTAACTAAAACAGTATTAGTTGTGTTGCAGTTTGCATTTAAATAAGTTTTAGTCAACATTTCTGGGTAGAGTTTGTAAGTTTAACAGCAAAAAATAAAAGAAGTGCTTAAACGAGGGTACAACCAATTTCTGAAAAGCTTCTTTCCCGTGCAGATTCATTAAATTCTCTCCGTTTTTGATCGCTCTTCCCATCTGGTTTTTAATGGCATGTTAAAGAAAAATGTGTTGGTCATTAGGGAATAAAATGTTACTGAAACAGTGGTGAACGTATTAAATCTGTGGCAGTCGCAGCTAAACTGTGCCGTTTATTGGCAACGGTTCAGTTTGCTGAAGAGTTTGACTTCCAAAGCTGGATGCAAGCTGAGATTAGTGCTTCAGCGCAAAACTTTCTCAACAGTAAGCTAACTTTTACAAAGTTAATACGTGCAGCCCAACGTGAACAGAATGAATTTGACTGAATTCATTCCTGATCAGGATTTCTTATCAAAATAAACCTCAGCCTCTGAATTTACAAACTAAAATTCAAGGGCTTCAAAAATCAGTTTTTATAGTGTAGTCTTCTGGACTGGGTGGTTCTGACCACTTGGTCTGGTTCATGGTCCTGGCAAAGGCCAGAAAATGACAGGGATCCATAAGAGACGGGGATGCTGCAGATAATGACAGTTTAACTGATTCTGTAAATGAATTTCACGTATTGACCCGAGGAATACCGCCCACCGGTTTACTCAGACACATTTTGCTTCCAAATGTGAAACTAATTGCCTCTTTTTGTTGCCGGGATTGCTTTCAGTCACTCATTTAGCTCGTGGTAATGGCGCTTCATTGTTTCTTCCTTTCTATTTATGAATTCGATGGCTTCAATGTTTCTTATTCGTAAAAGGAAAACGGCTGGTTGTGACACAATTTCAGCAATTTTATTAAAATGACATCTTATAATACATGTATATATTTTATATATTACACCTACAAATTCAATTTATTTTTTATCTGGATTCTAAGTGGCAGAGCATCACAATGCAGTAAAAAGCTGTGAAGTAGAAGGAAAAAAAAATTTAAAATCTGAAAAGTGTGTAGTGCATTTGTATTCTTGTGCAGCCTTTGCAAAATAGCTCAAGCTCATGAATAGCTTCTGTAAGCACCAGCTTCTAATTCTTGTCACCGGTTTTCAATAGGTGTTAGGTTTGGACTTTGATTAGGCCATTGTAATCAGTCTGTTTAAATCTCCTGGGACTGGTCAGTGTTCAGCTCTGTTCTGATCAGTTGAAACAAATCAGCCCCTCAGCATCGTACTGTCACTACCATTTCTTAGTATAGTTTCAGGGGTGCGTTTTCCAACACTTACGTTTTGCAACTACTACCATATTCACGAGAAATATAAATATGGTCACCTTCCTAAAGTAATGGGCTGAGTCATTTGTTGCTAAAAGATGAGTTATGCAACAACAAAAATAATCACTTTTGGCAAAAAAAACAAACAAAACGACTTAGAACGTGTGTGTGTGTGTGTGCGTGCGTGCGTGCGTGCGAGGCAGCATAGTTTATAGGAGTGTTTATTGAGCCGCTGTGATGCATAGCATTAGTTGACGTCTTGTTCATTCTTCAGTGTGTGTGTGAACGTGTAAATCTGTGTCAGCCTGAGGTGAGCCTGACTCTCTTCAGTCGTAGGGCTCTGTGCAGCCTGAAGCAGAAAGCACACACACACACACATACACACTCCCCTGCCTCTCAGCTGATCAATATCTCTTGTCACTGAAGGCTGGTGCTCTGATGTGGAGCTGTCTGAGTGGTTGGAGAGGCGAAGGGTCAGGAAGGCGAGTGTTCATGACAGAAAGCAGTTCTGATGTGAGGCTGATTCTCGTCTTTTTGGAACCTTGAAGCTCCGTTTTTACTCCAAACGCCTCTTCAGCTGATGACTGCAGCCCAACTATTGGGTTTTCCTTCTGCTCTGGAGAAGTGTGACTCTGTTGAATTGATCCTCATTAAGGAGGATGAGGATGAGGTGGTGGTGGGTAGTAGTGACAGAGTTCTGAACTGTTATCGGAGCCCCTTTTCTGCCCCTGAGCTTTAACAGTGTGAAAATAGTTCTGCATGATTAATGTTCATGTTTTATTCACCGCTCTGGTTCTGTTTTTCTTTCTACGGTTTAAGACAATATTAGCATAACAACCGCTTTTGAACTCCTCACTGAGATCTAGTTTTATTAGAAGTTGATGAGTTTATCAGTAAAGATGCACTGACCAGGTCGGTACAGATTTCCAATTTAGTTTTTTTTTTTTTTTCAAAGTTTCAGGGGGGGTTTTCTACCATGTCTCACATGCTGCACTTTCTTTTAAAAGAGGATTGATTTATTAAATAGGGGAAAGAAAATAACTTTTCATTTTGTACATTTGACCTGCCGGTCAAAGGTCAGAGCTGAGAAAGAACAAGTCAGCTCTCTGTCCGGTTGTTGCGTCTCTGTTTGTCTCGTAACGGTTGGTGAGAAGTTCCTCTGCAGTCAAAAGAAAACTTAAATCAGCCGGTCCTCTTCCAGGGAACGATGATTTGTCTCAACTTAATGCCATCTGTCACACGCAACACTTGCTTTCTCCTCCACGTCTTCATCTAAACTACCTCCATTAGTCAATCAGAGCTGTTACTGTCTCACATGGCTGAGAGGCTGCCATGCAACTTGTCCAAACAGATCTCTGAAGTCACAGCGAATGTATATGTAAAGAAAAGCTAAGATTATTCATTTTATACTGTTATTGCAGCATGGATGTTTCTGTGCTTGCCAAAGCGAACAAAGCAGCGGCATTTAGTGGCGTACTCGGGGTCTTATCACAAACCCACGATGGGCTTAGAGGGGAGAAGAAGAGGTGTGGAGAATATGAAAGGCTGAGGGGTGTGCAAGCATGAAAGGTGTAGTGCTTAGATTAGGACAATGTGTGTGAGTTCAGTGTGTGTGTCTTGTTAAGTGGTCTAAGTTGGTGTTTTCTGTGCAGAAAACTGATAAGGTGCAACCAAAGTCTCACAGTTTGTGCTGAGTAAGGAATGTGTCACGGTTCCTCCACAGGGAAAGAAAAACAGCACGGTTAGGAGGAAAGACAACACAAGCTTTTTTCTGGACTGTGTGTGTAGAAAACACACCTTTGTGTGTGCACCAAAGTGTTGGTGTGTCTTTATGAGACTTTGTGGCTTTTTTGCTAATTTAAGTGATGCCCAGTAGAAAGGGTGGTGTCAGTTTTTAACAAGGGAAATACAAAAGCAGTTCCAGCACCTTGTAAAAGTATTCACACCTCCGGACCTTCTCCACTGTAGCTCATAATTGTGAAGTGGAGGAAAACAATTCAGGATTTTCGTCTGTCTGTAAACATCAATTACCAAGTCTTGCTCGATTCTCAATTGCAATTTAGCCCTGGACTTTGACTGAGCCATTCTGAACCATTCACATATTTCAATCCAAAACATTAAGTCCAGTTTATCTCTGGCTGGAAGGTGAACTTCCCTCCTTCCTTTTTGTGAGTTTTCCTCCATCCAGCTTCTGTGGTGGAAGCCAAGCATCCCCACAGCATTATGTTGCCGCCACCATGTTTCACAGTGTGGTCAAACACAGCGTTTTCATAAGCCAAAGAGTAAAATTTGGATTCAGTCTGATCAGACCACTTTCTTTCATGCGTCTGCTTGTTCTTTTACATAACAAAAAGGCAACTTTCTGCTTTAAAAGTTTCCTATTTAAAGCAAACTTTAAGTAGGACTTCTTCGTTATTTCTTTTATAAGTAGTTTTCTTTTTGCTATGATGTGGAAAACTTTAAATGAATATATTTGCATTGCACTTAAACAATGATGTAGAGACTATAAACACATAAAACTAAATCATATTGGTATTGGCAGATTTTTTTGTCATTTTTTAAATATGTTTGTATCGATTTGTAAAACTGGACTAATATTAATAACCCATATTTATTAATATCTTGTTGTTTGTATTTCCGGAGGAGGAGCAGAAGGGATTGGTCAAATCAACCAAAACAAACATGCAAGTTTAGCGCTAGCGGGAGGAATGTCTATTGTTTTTTTTTTTTTTTTGTTGTTGTTTGTATTTTTACCAAAGTCATAAGAGAAAATCTAAAGCTGCTCAAATCTGACGCCACTCTATTTTCATTAACATTTTGCGAAGAATGAAGTTACTCTCATGTCTGCATCTGAGGTATTCATGTTGTTTTCTCCAGTTGTTCTTGCTGCAGCGCCACCACAGGCGAGGAGGGGAACAGGTTTTTTGAAAGGTTTGGTTTGTTTGACACAGTACAGTGTGAAAAATGATCCCCAATCAAACAGAGTCTACCTGAGTACTGGGTGAGAAAACAGCTTAGCCTTGCAGAAAAAATTTTTTCTGCAAGATTTAAAATTTTTTCAAATTTTTAACACAACAGACTAAAACATCTCTGTTGCACCACTCTTTTCTGTACTTGCAGTCTTGTCATAAAACATGTGAGAACCAGTAGTCTAGAGCATTCTAAGCATGGAGGGAGACCAGCTAAGGTTAAAGCTACCAGTGGTACTACGACTGCTTGGACTGGGCGGTTTGTACTTTGCTTTTTTTGGGCACTTCACTCAGAGGTTTCGGTACATTCCAGCCTCTCCCCGCTTAGACAAACAGAGGGCAGAGCTCTTCATCATCCCGCTCTGTACCTGCCGTGTCTCTGCCTCCCTCCTGCTCCTCACACTTAACTCACACTGACTTCTAAACTTGGGTATTCCTGCTGGACGAGCCACAGGTTCTCATCAATCAGCTGCCAGACCACGGAGAGGAATTTCCCCCAAGCAGGAGCGGAGTCCTGCGAAAGGTTATTTAGCTCCAAAAATACACAAATCTGCTCTATTAGTGCAGTTTGAAGATGACTTAATAAACTCGTTTTGTAGGTTTTGGGATTTTGGCACACGGCTGTTTTTTTTTTTTTGTTTTTTTTCCTGAGTCGAATCTTTGCTAACCCATCTCAGCAGTCAGGTGTGCTGCAAGAGCAAAACAGCAAGGAGGGATTTCCACTCTAATCTTGAAAATCTGTACAGAATGTTATGTCAAAATATTGGATGGTGCGTACAGAGCCCGCGGCGTTTCTTCAGCTTTTGGTTCGACGTGATGTTGATTTCTCTCGCAACGAACACCCAGACGTCTAAACGGCTTGATTTTCTGACTCCATGTTTGTCTTTTTTTTTTTCTCTCTTTTTTTAAAGGTCGGAGGCAGGAAGTGGTCAGGCCCTCCGTTGTCTGCGGCCAGCGTTCAGCGAGACAGCATGCGGATGGTGGAGGATGGGCCCTGAGTTGGAGTCGGTCCCTGCTGCTCTGCGTCGGGCCCCTCCGTCCAGAGGAATGACGGCTTTGTGGTGCTCACTCTGGCTCTCCCTTCTGCTGCCGCTCTGCGTCTCTCCAGCCAGGCTGCCCACCGCTCAGCCCACAGGTAGGATGCGGGGCCCCGCCCCCTGTTAGCACAAATCTACATTTTAGTTGCTGCTTTTGCTAAGATGAGTGGATTGTCAGAATGGCTAATATTGGAGGTCAGGGTTTCCTCCAGAAAATGTGCTAAGCCTGGTCACCAGTGGCCCACCCACAATGTTGTTGTGTTAATATTAAAAGTTGGCTGGAAACATATATGCTCTCTTCTCAGTCTCACTGTGCACTCAGAGCAAACCTCTATAAGTTGCACTTTTACAGGTTTGCATTGAGTGACCTGAGCGAGCGTTGAGGCTTGTATTCTTACTGGTTACTGGTACATAAAAAAACCCCAAACTTTTAAAACAAACAAGCTCTTAGCCTGGCGAGGCATGAAAAGCCTGGTGACCCACCAGGCTCATGATACACTGGGTAAAACATATAGTTGTTGAAGTTTTCCACATTTTGTCATGTCACAACCACAAATTTCAGTGCAGTCTTTGTCCCCATGGTGAAACATGGTGGTGGCAGCATCATGTTGTGAATATGAAGCCCTATGAAAATAATCATCACTTCTTCACAGCCTGTCAAATCCCAGATGTAAAACTAATTAAGAATCTGTGACGAGTGACAGGCGCTCCATCCGTCTGAGTCAGAGCAGCTGAGAGATATAAACAAAGAAGGAGCAAGTAAAAAGAAAATGTAGAAAATTTCCACAACGATGAACTGCTTTACTTTGTTTTTTTGACGTTTTAACTTGACAAATTGGGCCGATACCGATCACCCATGAGGGCCGATCACCGATAC